AATGGGAGATAACGATTCAAACAATAGTTTCCTGCTATTTCTGCACAAGTTTCTGACTGGAGGAGAACGATAGAAAAAATAAGTTTCCGCCCGCGGCCTGTGTTTTCTCATCGTCATCCCGGGCGCCGCCGCGTGAACACGACCCCCGGTCATTTATTAATCGTCATCCTCCATTAAGAGTGACCCTGGGTGAGAGTGACCTTTGGTGCGCGGCTTCTGCGGGGCCGCGGGGAGGCCAAACCTAGGCACGCTGCAGCCGCTGCTGTCGCTTCGCGTTCGGCGGTCTGGGCACCCAGCTGCGCCCGCACCCACAAGTCACCCCAGCGGGAGGTCCCTCTGACGTCTATGATTAGTCGACCCCGCGCGCCCCAGGAAGGCCGCGCTCCGGAGGCCACCCCAGCCTGGCGAGAGGCAGCTCCCACGCGTGTGCCCGAGAGGCCTCCGAGGGAAGCGCGTCGCCTGCGGGGCCGGCGCGTCCGCGTCCGAAGCGAGCGAACCATGGCGCAAGCCGCGGGCAGGTCGCCAAGGGCGGGCAGGCAGCCCCTCTGGCCACGATGGCAGTGGCGTCGGCCCGGCCACTGCCCCCCCCTGCCAAGCGAAGACCGAGGGGGGCGGCCGAGCAGGCCTCTCGCGCTCTCGGACCACAGGAGGCCATCGCACAGACGTGCGGCGGCCGGCAGAGAGCGGGATGCCCGCTGACTCCCCAGCGACCTCCCCACGCTTCACGAGGAAGTCAAACTTGAAAAGCGAACTTTACGCTCACACGCAGAAGAGAGGAAGGAGGAGGAGGAGGCGGAAGAGGACAAGGAGGAGGAGGAGGAGGAGGAGGAGGAGGAGGAGGGGGAGGAGGAGGAGGAGGAGGAGGAGGAGGAGGAGAAGGAGAACGAGGAGCGTGGGCCACAGGAATTACCGGATCGACCAACGCTGGCGCTCTTACGACAAAAAAACTTACGACCGCCACCGGCGCCGTTACGACAAACAGTCAGAATTTGCGATCACGCTCGTCAGAAGCAGCAACGCGGTTACGACAGTCGGGGGCCCCTGGACCTACCTGAACGGCACCGCAGGCGCCGTTATACGACAAAACGTTTGGTCGCTAAACGCTCGAACGACCACGGGCGGCGTTGTGACAAAAAGTGTGCATCACCCGAGCCACAGAAGCCGACTACTCGCAAATCTCCTTGTACGACAAAACGTTTGGTCACTAAACGCTCGAACGACCACGGGCGGCGTTGTGCCAAAAAGTGTGCATCACCCGAGCCTCAGAAGCCGACTGCTCGCCAAATCTCCTGGAGCCTGTCGGACCCGCCGGCCTCCTGAGACCTGCTTCTCCTTGCCGCCAATGGCGACAAGGCGCGTGACGACGGCACGGAGGACAGGCTTGATCTCAGGCGCGGCGTCCATTTGCAATTCCACCCAATGTGAATCGAACTCTCTGCGGAGCTTGCGCAGAAAGACCTGGCCAATCAGATCGCAGCCCGATGGGCACGAACTGTGCCCCCAAGGCCTCTTTGGACGCGTGGTAACCCTCGTCGGTCGCAGTGGCATTCACACTCGTGTCCACATCCACAGCCTCGCGGCCCTGGCCATCGCTCGGACGTCCATTTCCTATGTTTTTTTCGGTTTCGTGCGTGGTTTTTTCGTCAAATGATCGAGGATGCTCCTCGATGGTCCTCGCCCCTCGCCGAAGGAAAAGTGCACACGTCCGAGCGATGCCTAGGGCCCGGACTCCTCGGCGTATCCACGGGATCGCGCCTCGATGCCCAGAACGCGAGGGCAGGGATCCTGACACGCTGGTCGCTCGGGACAGAGGGCCACGCGGGGTCCAAGAAACCAGCATCACGGGGTCGGTTCCAAAAGTTCGGGGGGGCCCAAGTGACGAGAAACATAGTCTGGTTTTGTAGGAATTCTGTCCTCCCACCGCAAAACAACCGTTCACCTCTGCCTCTTAACCGTACTTCACGAGAGTGAAGCTGCGCTGCAGCGCGAGACAGTGTATGAAAGCGTACGCCGAACGGTGGAGTTGACGAGCCCGTGCGTATCATAGCACTGGCCGTGAAGCGAAAAGAAAGCGGAGACGAGATACGAGACGGGCCCCGCAAATCAAGGTCAGAGGCCCGAACGGATATGAGGGTGTGTGAGCTCGCTGCGCCCTGGCCTTTCCTCCAGGGTTTGCCTGCGCATTTATTTTATCCTCGCGGCGGCTAACTCGACAGGATCATCTATGCCGTCTCCAACGGGGCTGAGGCAGCCGGAAGGACACACCCCCTGCAATCCTGATGAGGGACAGGAATGCGGCATGCGTATGCGCGTTCTCTTGTGAATCCCCCTTTCCTCCTCCTCCTCCTCCTCATCCTCCTCGACCTTCTTCTTCCCCTCGTCACCCTGCTCCTCCTCCTCCTCCTCCTCCTCCTCCTCCTCCTCCCAATCTTCCCTCCCTCCCCTGGGCACCTCTTCGTCCCCGCAGACCTCGGACGTCTTGGTTGTCGATCCGCGGGCCCCCTATCCCGGACCAGTGGTTGATGGCCCGGGACCGCAGGTGGCCCCAGGACACGCACGCACACAGTCCGTCAGGTGGCGGCGTCCGCCTCCCTCATCGTGCTGGCCAAAGGGCGAGGCCAGCCAGGGGCCAAGGATGCGCTGCCGTGGGGACGTGAGGGGCAGGAGTCGCGGGGCGGCCGCGCTTTCGCGGCCTTCGCGGCCGACGCGGCGCTATCAGTCTCGATCTTCGGCAAGGGACCAGGAGGGAGGATCACGAATCGGAGGAGGAGGCGGAGAAGGCGGCGGCGGAGGAGGAAGCGGAGGGAGAGCACGACGAGTGGCATGCTCGAAGTGGGGGCGGAAAGAGTGGGGAAGATTTCTGGCCGCCCCAGCTTCGATCCTCCCGAGAAGACGGGAAGGCCGACGACGATGCGCAAATGACATCAGAGAAAAGACCAGCTGGGCTCCAAGCAGGCCCTTCCGTTCTTCCTCGTCGTCGTCGTCCTCCTCCTCTTCATTATCACCATCATCGTCATCCCTCCAACTCCTAAGAATTCTCCTCAAATTCCTCATCATCGTGCCTGCTCCTCCTCCTCATCATCATGTTCATCATCACCATCATCGTCAACATCAACCCTCATCCTCATCGTTGTCACCATCAACACCACCATATCGATATCAAGACCCCTCGTCCCCGTCCTCATCATCACCATCGTCATCAGCATGATCCCTCCTCATCCTCATCCTTATCATCATCCATCCTCTCCTGCCTCATTTGCACCCGCATCATCATGATCAACATCAACATAATGTTTGATATCATCATCATCGTGATCATCATGCTCATCATCAGTATCCTCATTATCATCATCATCATCATCATCATCGTCCGCCTCATGTCCATCCTCATCCTCCTCATCAACAACCTCATCAATAGCATCTCCCCGCCGCCTCACCCTCCTCCTCATCGTCGTCGTGACCCCTCTCCTCCTCCTCCTCATCAGCAGCACCGTCATCGACAACGTCATCGTGATCGTCATCATCACCATCATCAGCATCAGCATCATCATCATAATCAACATCATCAGCATCATCATCGTCATGATTATCATCAGCATCATCATCACCAACATTTTCGTCGGCATCGGCATCGTCATCGTCATCGGCATCGCCATCGTAATCGTCATCGTCATCGTCGGCATCCCCATCACCAGCATCATCATCAGCATCATCAAAGCAGTATCAAAATCAGCATCAACATCAACATCACCGACATCACCATCAGCAGCATTAGCAGCATCATCGTTACCGTCAGCAACAACATCATCATCAGCATCAGCGCCAGCACCATCATCATCATCATCAGCAGCATCAGCATCATCATCATAATCATCATCAGCATCACTAGCATCGCCATCACCATCAACATCGTCATCATCATCATCATCATCATCAACATCATCGACATCGTCATCACCGTCATACCACGTTGACTTGGATACGTAATCAAATTTCGCCCTACTCAAACACTGCGATGCACGGCCCAACCTGTACCATCCATAACAACAAAACAACCACGAATTACTTAGGCAAGGATGCGACGAACCGTGTCAGGAATCACAACGATCAACGTTTTCTATTGCAATGTAGGGAACAATGTGCAAGGACATCTCGACTCCTACCAAGAGCATCTCGACCGAGCACGTGCTGATACCCAGGAGGTCCAGGACCAACAACACCACCACGCTCGACACGTCTTCGCTACGGTTGGGCTCAGGACTCATGCAGACCACCTGTGGTGACGGAATTCCGACGGGTGTTTCATGGCGGAAAGGCCCACGGTCCCGACCAATGGTGGCCTGAAGAGCTGATGCTTCTGCCAGATGAGGCGTTGGTGCTTTGGTGGAGCTGGTGGTCAACAGATGCATGGAGGCAGAGCAACACGGCTGACCGCCCCAACTCCTTCAGTGGAGACAACTACACATTCCCAACGACGAGTCTGCAATCATCCCAGTGATGAAAAGGCTCCGTCCTATATCGATCGCGAGTGCTATTGTCATGGCCTGGCACAGATGGAAGGCAGCACAGCTTACCGAATGTCTTCAACCCGCATTCCCCGACACACAGGGTGGGGGGATGCAAGGCCGCACCTTGGAACAATTCACTGAGCCATGCCTCTCCCGGCTCGAAGAACCGACAACGGCGAATAGGCTTGGCGGCACATCTCAGGCGCGGGAGATATATCCCGCGGATGGCGCCCTGAGGCAGAACGTCTGGGGGGGATTGTTGAGGAGGTTGAGGAGGACACGAGAAGAATCGGGAGAAGGAGGAGGAAGAGGAGGAGAAGGAGGAGGAGAAGAGGAGGACGACAGGGACAAGGCGGAGGAGGACGAGGACAAGGAGCGGGAGGACTAGGAGGAGGAGGAGGAGGAGGAGGAGCGACCCAGCCACGCGCGAGGGGACGGACAGTCAGCGCAGGGGACGAGAATAGACCAGGAGGAGGATGAGGAGGAGGATGAGGAGAAGGCAGAGAACGAAGGACGCTCCACTGAGGTTCTCTCCCAGCCTTTTCTTGCCAGTCCAGCTAAGGCCTCCTTTGGGGGCTTGCTAGCATGGAGCCGCCGGAGAACCAATACCGATTTTCCGCCCAAGCTGCTCTCATCTACCCTTTTTAGGGAATGATGGGCTCCGCCATGTGCTGCTTGTTACGCCATCGAAACTGTGGAGAAACTCCCACAATAATATCAAGCGCTCATATCGGCGGAGCCAGGCAAGCTTAAACTACTCCCCATTTCAGGTGTCAGAAGTATGCTTGCCAATCTCGGAGATCTGCTCTTTCTAGTGGGGTTTAAGGCCAGTGCAAGCTCACCTTGAGGCAGCTTCAGTATGCGCGAAATCTGCGAGAACTTGTTCTCCATCGACCCCATGAACTCCAACAGCTGGTGGTGCAGCTTCTCGCTTTCGTACAGCAGCATGTTCACATCAATGCTACGTGCGCTGCCCTTCAAGCGAAGACAGCCTTGGACAAACTCGTCGATGTTCACAGCGTTCGAATCGTCCACATCCAACAACACAAACAGGGCTCGGGCAACACTCACGTCCAGTCCGAGCGCTCCAAAAAAAGTGGCGACCTCGCTGTCCTGGAGGTATTCGTGGAACTCCTCCCAAGATAACGTTGCATCATTATCCTTGTCTGCTTCCATGAATATTTCTCGCATTCGCTTGATGTTCTCCCTCTCCTGCTTAAGGCCGGTCTTAGTGACTATGTCCCTGTTCTTCTCCTGTGATTGTTTGGCGTTCTCGACGAATATACCGACCACTACGTTCAGGACACCAAACGTCATGAAGAACACATACCCTACGAAAACGACTACGTACGCGGAGTCCAACTCCCTCAATGGTCCTGCCATCGTCTCCCAATCGATTCCTCCACTGATGCTCATGAACATGTACAAGACTGTTTCCACCAGTGACCTGCAGTCAGTCAAGGGCACCCTGTCCAACTCAAACCACCATATCACCATCAACCCTCACCAATCACTGGTCCCTTCTCCGTCTCCACTCCCATCCTTCGAATCACACTGCACCAAGTATAACGACATCCCACACACACACACATACACACACAAAACACACACACACACACATCACTCCCCCCCACGTTGCCTCCCTTCCAGCCCCCTCCTCCTCCCCCTCTCTCACCTCCCTGCCAACCACGTCCCCCCCCCTCCTCCTCCGCTCTCTCCTGCTCCATGGCTGCTCAACTCGCTCTCTCTCCTCCTCGCCTTCCCCCCTCGTTTCAGTCAACAGGAATGGTACCGTACCTTTCTGTCATCCCGAAGTGACGTGTAGAACGGTTTCAAGCTGTCTACATCAAGCGCTGGATTGGCCGCGATTGCGTCAATGATTGCCGTGAGGAACAAAATTGAGAAGAAGTAGATGACGAAGAACATCAGGCACAGGACCCAGAACAGAGACAACAGCGATGACATGATCGAGAACACCATTACTTGGAGACTCTCCGAGAAGCGCATCGCGCGCAGAATGCGGAGAACCCTCGAGATCCTGATGAGGCGCAGGATCCTGGCAAAGCTGAAGTCGGTGTACCCACCTTCAGACATGGCGATCCCAACGAGGGACGACAACACGAGGAACGTGTCAAACAGGTTCCACATCTTCTCTTTCCCGAAGAGGAACATCAGGCGCTCCGCCGCGCAGCGCAAGAGGAGTTCCACTGCAAAGTACACGACGAAGCAGAACTCAAGGGCTTTCCAGTGCACTTTCTGGCTCTCGACCTTCGGGGGCGTCCAACAAGGGAGGAGTGATAGATCTTGGTCCGAGGCATGTGCGCGGATGGGGAGAGGGCGAGGGGGCGTATGAAAGAACAAGAGGGGCCATAACATCTGGGGATGTCGCGGCTCCGGCTATGATACCCCCACTCACCCCTGGTCCCCACTCTTCTCTTGGTCGTTCCCGAGACCTCGACCGCGTGAACTGACTCGCTGTGCCTGTACCCCCGCTGCAACGACTCGTCCACCTCATAGCCGATCATGAACGCGTTCAGCAAGATCACGAACGTCGTGAGCGCCCTGAACCTGATGCTGTGCACGATGCGGCCGAGTCTGTCTCTCGTGTTGCTGCTCCCCTTGGAGACTCCCCTGCCGGTCACGTTGGTGATCGTCCTATCGAACGCCTTGCCCATATTCCCAAGGTGCCTGCGGAAATCCTCCAGAACGTTGCTTAAATTCATCTCGTCGGACTCGTCGGACATCTCGTCGGACCCCGGGAAAACCTTCAACGCCCCCTTTTGGGTCGTCCGACCTCGGGCGGCAGGCAGAGAGGGGGCCAGGGCTACCGTTAAGTCGGGCGTGTCACCCTACATGGGGATTGTGGACAGAAAGTTAAAATGTTCAAAAATACTCAAAAGATGCTCAAAAATACTCAAAAAATACTCCCCATACTATTTTTTACTATTTTCGAATATTCCTCCTGTAGAGGGGGACAGGCCCGACTTAGGGCTACCGGGCCAGACCTCGCAGAGAGCACAGGGCGCCTCGGGAGGCAGCGACGCTCCGACAGACTGCAGACTGCAGCCGCCAGCATGATCACGAGAACTATCAATGACGAAATCTGGGCCACATTCCCCTCTCAAACCAAGCCTGCGCCAACGTGTGTTGCTCACGCGGGAGGCGCGAGCGTGCTCAAGAGACTGGGCCGGCTATCCGGCAAGCAGGTTGAGAAACGCGGGCCCAGCTTCTCGGGAGGAGAACTCTTGATCACATGCTCGACTGCTGGGAGGGCCTGAGAAACCGAACCCCCGAATCTGCCCGTGGCGGACCTGTGGAGCTGGCTCCGTCCTTCGTGCTGCCCCTGCCCTGGTCCCCGGCGTCGTTCTGCGGAGGGCTCGTTTGGCGGCCCTGCGCTAGCACGGTCGGAGCCGCCTCTGGGACACAAAACAGAAGGCACTGGTACTGCTTCTCCCCTGACCTCTCCCGGGTGCGTTCTCACGGGGGGACATCGGGGCGAGCAGAATCCAGCCGTGGTGGCGAAGGCCTCCCAGGAGGTCCAAGAAGGCGAGCAGGAGGCAGTGGGGAAAAACACACAACAAAAAACATACAACAAACACACACACACATACACACTGCGTTGTGTTGTTTGTGTGTTTTTGTTGTGTGTGTGTGTGTGTTTTTGTGTGTGTGTGTTTGTTTTGTGTGTTTTTCCCACACAGTGTGTGTGTGTGTGTGTGTGTTTTTTTCCGGCAGCCCAGAAATCCGACGCCACGGAAAAAAATACAACAAAGGGCAAAACTCGACCGAACTCCTGAACCAACATCTCTGCGGCGTTTGCCCGATAGCCGGGTCGATCCATGAGGGTCCGGGTGCCCGAGACAACGCAACATCGTCTGCTTCAGACAAAGTGCGACGCCAAGATCTCAGGAGAGGGCCTCCCAGGAGGCCTGAGAAGGTGGAAGCTAGACAAGGTCAGCGGTATCGGTACAACAATGCCGTGTCAATGTCAGTAATGTTTTTTCTCAGCGGGCGCGCGGCGCCGGTTGCTGTCTTAGGGCCCTAAGACTAGGGCCGAAAAGGGGGCGTGGCAAAAAGGAGGGGGGGGGTCAAGAGGCAGGGAGAGAGGATTGGGGCAAGCTGAAGGCAGACGGGCGGGGCACCCGTGAAATTCTCACACTGGGTGGGAAAAGATGCCGACCGTCTGCCGGTCCCGCTCGCTCTACCGCGATGGAGGCGCAGCTCCTGCTAACTCACCACAGCGAGATCGGGCCACAGCCCCGATCGCAAGAGAGATGCAACTCTCCGTCTCTACCATGGGCCCGCGCGGCGGCCCCGTCACTAGGGAGACGCAGCTCCCGCGTTCCCAGCCACACGCTGGGCCTTCCTCCTCTCCTTCGCTCGCTCACGCTGTCCTTGTCGTAACGCCTGGCGGTGCCGCTCCATGTTCTCCTGCTGGCTCGTCGGTACCAGGCTGAAGAGGCCAGTCTTCAGAAACAGCTCCAACACGGAATTGGGCTGCACCGCCTTCGTCAGGATGTCTGCTAGCATGTGCGCGTTCGGAAACCATTTTAATTTGATGGTCTCCTGCTCGATCAGGTCCCGGGCCACAAGCAAATCGACGAAGGTCTGCCGCGACACCGGCAGAGATCCTATCTTGCTGTGGTCGAACAACGATTTTGCATCAGTAACCAATGCTCCTGGGATCTTCAACTTGAGCCTCCAATCACCTTGAAGATCGGGCTCACCGAAGAGGACACTCTCGATGAGCAAACGCAGATACAACTGCCTGTCCAAGGCCACCGACATTGCCGCCGACTCCGCCGCCATAGCGGAGCCAACAACTCTCGTGATAGTATTGCTCTGGAACTCCACTAAATCGCAAGTCTCCGGGCCTGTCTGGATGCCGATCCCCGTCAACATGTTCATGAAACCCATTTGGCTCTTACAGCCCGCCTCCTTGGCAAAAGAAGCGTCCATCAAAGTAAGAACCATCAAATTCTCGATGTTGAGCTTCCGGAGTCGCAGTGTTGCCAGCCCCTGCTTGTCGTAACCCTTTAACCGGTCGATCAACTCATTAAGAGCTCGTATATGTAGGACTTGCTTCTCGCTCGAATCCTTGTGCGAAAGGGCCGAGACTCCATAGGCCAGCTGCGGTACCAAGCGTGCCACAGGCCACCGTACCTTGGCCAACACGCTACGGAACTCCTGCACCTCAGCTGGGGTCATGACCCTCGTGTCGTCCTCGTCGCGCTTGATGCGGATAGGTTGTAACTTCTCGATGTACTCGTGCATGTTGATCTCGATGCAGTCCGGGTGCCGGTACCAGTGCTCTCCTAAGTACTCTACGGGGTTCGTGTTGTTACCAGGCTTCCAATGCTTAACGTTGAAATTGCTGTTGATGTCGTCCTTAACCTGCCGGTACTCCCTGGAAGACGTGTTTCCGAACAGCATGCCGTCATCAACGTGCAAGGTAAGTAAAGCAACGATCTTCCCGCGCAGCCTCTTCACGAAAACCGCTCTCGCGCAGCGTAGTTCCACGAAGAGCAACACGTCCACGAGAAGCCGTCACGCCTTGAGGTACCATAGTCGTGGTGCCTCTGTCAGCCCATAAGCGCCCTTCAAAAGACGGAGAAGGGCACAGGGGCGCACGGGTGGCCAACCAGATCCTGGAGGGGAGGGGAGACCGCCCCTGGGGCTTCGGACGTACAGCTCTCGGTCCAAACGCATACCTGACAAGAAAGCCGTAGCGACGTCGAAAACCTCGAAGCTCCAGTCGAAACTGATGGCGATGGTCGCGCACACAAGCACTGCTCACGAAGAAGTTGTGGGTGAATCCGTCCGGAAGAGGCCGAGTTGCGGATCGTGTTGTCCAGGAGTGATTAAACGTGACTTGGCCTCGATGTCCGGCGCCTTCCCCCTGTTAGTCCGCACGTGCCTCATGGGCACGCTGATGATCTTGTCCTTCGGGATGTGCTTCTCCATATGTTCATCCACGAGTTCCACAGCGCCGTTCGCGAGCCACTGCTTCCACTCAGCCTCGTCCGCGGCGTCGAACAACTTCTTTTCCTCCTCGTTGAAGAACCGGGCATCCAACTCTTTCGCGTTGGTCTTGAGGACCATGGCGTACACATCATGCTCAAATCTGGCGTCGTGCTCCCAGGTCTGGAAGACATCGGAAACGTTCTCCCACTCTTCGTAAGTACATGGCACTTTAACCAATCCAACGGGGGTGTCAATGAAGTACGTGCCAACTGCAGTATCCAATGGAATGTCGTGGTAAAATATCGTCATCCCCTTCCACGAAAACTCCATCTTCTGATTCTGCCGCTCCGTGCCGTCATCCTTAAATTTACATGTAACATCTTCCGTAATAATAACACTGAGCCTGTTGCACGTATTGTGCCTCGGGTGGTCGTAGAGTCGGCGCCGGGGCTGCGCGTGCAAGCGAGCGCCCTGCACCTGTTTACGTAGCAATGTAGGTAAGCTTGCAAGCTGGCCCTTATCCAACCACTCGCGCCCGCCCGCGTGGGCCACGAAGCTCACGGCCACCGTGTGGAGAGCTGCCAGTCCAGAAGGCGGCTGCTCCTGGATGCGCGTTCGCTTAATGCTCACGGGCACGTCATCCAAAAGAAACTTCCGCTTTCGCTCAGCGTCGAACTCGTCATATGGCATCGGCGGAAGCTTGCTTAGATCCATGCCCGCAGGATCCGCCCACGGAGCTGCACTCGAACCTGCTCCTCCCTCAGGGGGAGGTTCCGTGAGAGCTGGAGTTTCTAATGGCGGCGCAGACGTAGGACTCGACCTCCTTTTGGGTTCCGGCGCCCGCCGCGTAGGGGCGCCCTCCGGGGCGCCCAAAGCTTGCAGAGCCTTGAGGTCCACCTTCGGGGCCACCAGCTCCTTCATACTAGGCCGGTGCTTCTTGAGGATAGACTTTTTCACGCGCTCGTGCACCTTGGGAGTGGCCGTCACATCCACCATGTCACGGTACGTCTTGTCTTCCTTCTCGGAAGTCCTGCCGAGGTCTGCCTGGATCTCGCCTGCGGCTGCGGCTTCAACAGAGGATGCATAACGAACTTGCTCTCGTGCAACAAGAAGTACACGTCCTCTCCACGACAGGTAGTAACGTCCATTCGTCTCCTTAGCAATGACCGTTGCCGGACCTCTCCAACGTTCTGGGTCCTGCCGCCTCCTCCCCTTGAATGGATTCGGCGACCAGAAATACACCCGGGTTCCTGGGCAGAGGTCCCCCGCCACCGTGGGCGCCTGGCGCAGCATCACCCTGCGCACCTTCTCGGTGGCATCGCGCTCCAGCAACATCATCTTGGCAGCCGTCCTGATTTGAGACGCCTTCCATGCAACCCCGTGCGAGCCCAGGACCGACATGAGTACCTCGTCGTCGTCGCGGTTGGCCAGCTCCGCAAAGTTGAGCGCTCTGCCGAAGACCGCCTGCTCGGGGGTAGCGCCGCTCCGCGTCAAAGTACAATTTTTGGCGTTGATTACTGCGGACAATGCAATGTTCGCGGCATGACCTGCTCTGATGTCGAACTCATGGACGATCTTGGCCCAGATAGTTCCCAATAGTCCACCGTGCCGCTCGGCGACCCCATGCTGCCACGCAGCATGGGCTCCTACCGTCTTGCTGTTGATACCGAACTGCTCACGGATACCATTGAAATAAGACTCGAACTCACCACCCTGGTCCACGATAATGGTCTCAGGCGCTCCGTAATGCTTAAACCACTCGCTCATGAGTTTCCTGGCCACATGCTTGGCGCGCCTATTCTCAAGGAAGGTGGCCACGTGCCACCCCGTGCCCGCGTCGACCATGCTCAGCACGACGAGCTGCTTCCCGGCGGCATCTTTCAAGTACTTCACATCGATCACCAGAACCTTGTTGAAGCCATAGGGTCGCGCCGCCGCGCTCGAGAGGAGATGTCGGCCTGGCGGGGCCGACTCCGCGCACGTCGGGCACTGCCACTGCTTCGCGTAGACCAGGGCTGGTGGTGTCGCGCCTGCAAGCCGCAACATCTTTAAGAATGTGTCACGGCTTGGATGTCCAAGCCCACGGTGAGCCTTCCTCACGGCCCTCCGGATGTTCCTCGGAACTTTGGCCAAAACATCTTCCCGGACAGCCTCCGAAGCTCCTGTTCCGACCACGTGTCTGCCTGCTCGTCGGGTTCCTCCTCCTCTGGATGCATCATCGTCTCCTCTGCGACCGTCTGGAGCCGGGGTCCGAGCTCGGTTAACTCAGGTCCAAAACTGTGCGGTTCCCCACTCGGCTCGGGGAGGTCGGAGGGGAAGACGTTGACGCAATTGCGGGTGAGAAAATCAAGAGCTCCTGTAAGGATGTTCTTCGCCGCCTCCTCGGTGTAGCCACCAGCCAAACTCGAAAGGCGCATCGATCTGTAAGCGTCGTGATTCGTCGTCGCAACGCGGTCCTTAATGCTCTCGCGCTGGTGGTCGTTATCGCGGGGACCCTTAACGGCGTCGCAGATCTCGGGATTCGCCAAGACCCGGGCAGGTATCTTAAGATGTTCACCGCTCTCTGGATGTTGAGGTCATGGCGAAGCGCGTCCGTCACCACCTCCACGTACTCGGATCGCCCCCTTTGGCCTGGAGTGGCAACGCCTGCCAACGAGCTGACTGGGCAGGAATCCAGATGAACGCTGCTCGACCGCGGTCCGCCTGCCACTGCATAACTTCGTCGACGAATGCGATGATGGCGCGGTCAGTCTCTTGCTCTCGACGCCGGCGCCTTTCCTGTAGTGGTGTGAGCTGGCGTTGCATGTTGTACCGTTTCGCACTGGGAGGCACCATCGTGACAAGATCCGGGTCCGCCTCGATAAGATACCTCCTAGCCTCGTTCCGGCCCTGCGGCACAAGGAGATCAAAGGCTGGCGACGCGATAGGCTGATACGCATCCCAACCCAATGCCGCTGCCAAGATGGTAAGCTGACACGTCCAAGTAAAAATCTCCAGTAGCCTCCAAGCTCCTGGCTTCCTGTTCGTTCTTTTCAGGTCGGGGCCGGAGGGAAGGTAAAACTTATTTTCCAGCCGCTGTGGCCGATGCTGCTGCCTAGGCTCCTGCTTCCGACTCGCCTCCGTGGACATAGCGGCGTGCAGCTCCTTGATGTTACTCCTAACATGCCTCCTAGCCCCCTTGGACATCACCGCCTCTGTCTCGACGTCCTCCATGGAAACGTCGTCCTCGCTCGCGTCGCGCTCGCTCTGCTCTGCCTCGGAGCTGGTGTGATTGCGAGACGACGTCTCAGCCGAATCCGAACCACTGGACGATGCAACGCCCGAGGAAGCCTCCAGACCGCCACGGGCATCATCCTCGAGCGCTGGGTCCTCAGAGCCATCGGAACTGAACATATCGTCGCCCAGCTCGTCTAACTCTGGCGCGTCGTCTTCGGGAGCTCCGGCCGTAGTGGCCATTACCGTGCAAGGCGTGGCAGGAGGTTCCACTGGGAAGTCCAGGAGCGAGACGCACGGATGTCCACTCGCCGAGGGTATCAAGTTAGACTTCGCACAGTTTGCGTAAAACGCACCGTCGCGGAAGCTGATGCTCGCGCCCCACTCGGCCATCTCGTCCGGCCCAATCAGTCCAGGAACGTCCGCTGCAACCTCCGCAATCGTGAGGTCAGAGAGACTATCGTTAACACCGACAGGATACCGCAACGTGCATAAGCTCAAAATGGGTTCCCCCGGTCCAAACTTGAAGTACTCCTGCCGCGGGATGCGCTCGTAGCTAAAACCCAGCTTGTCCAGCTGACCCTGGAAACGAGCATGCCACTCGGACCCGCCGACGGCACGCTTGCAACCAGTATCCAACATAGCCACGCCGCCGGGTAACACGACCACAAGAACGTCGCTAGTAGAGGGCACGGTGTCGTCATTTATGGTCATGTACGTCCCCGCGGCACCTGTGGCAGACGCACCTGTCGTGGCCGCATCGCCCTCCTTCGTGGTGTCCTTGGGGTGACGTCCCCCTCCTTCGTGACGTACTCCTCCTTTTCCTTTTGCTTTGGCGCTTCCTGCTAGGCCACTCTTACTCCATGGATCGTCATTGAGCCATGGGCCCTCTTCCTTCTCCTCTGGATTGTCCTCCTCGTCGGCCACGGTGAAGTGGGCCACCGACTTGAGGCCGCACGCCTGGCACTTGGCGCACGCAGCGGCGGCATTGGCCTGCCACCTCAGCTTCTCGAACGGGTGGTTGCACTCTGACTGCGCTCTGATGCGGTCTGGGTCGTACTTGGCTTTCGGCCCCGCCTCAAAGCGACCGCCGATCACCTGGCTCTGGTACATGTCGCGGTGCATCTCCTTCTTCTCGACGTCACTCATCTTCGAGCGCGGCTGGGTCATCGTAAATCTTTTGCCGCTGCTCGTCGCGATATCCTCTCCTGGCCGCCCCCTGCTTGCTGCGCCCCCGGCCTCGGACGAAGCGCGAGCAGCAGACGCAGCGGTTTCTTCCCTCACGCGTGCAACGCGCCGAGTCTCAACCATATTCTTCCACACGCTGCCTGCTCCTTTCTCCTCGTCCTCGCCCGATGGCAACCGAGCACCTCGAGACCTACCGTCCTGTTGCCGTCTCTGCTGGAGCCGGTCCATGATATCTGCTGGAGTCGGCTTGCCGACCACCTTCTCCTCCAGGCTCTTCTCCTTCGCCTCGAGTACCTGTAGCTGCTCCTGCAGCTCCTCCCTCGCTTTGGGTCCTGTAACTCCTTCCTGTCCTCGGCCTTGCGTTGCCCATGCTGGTCCACCATGTCCCAATCAGCAGCGCTCGAGGCGTCAGTCGAGCCACGGGAGTTGTTCATGAACACGGAGTGCACGCTCATAGGATCTAGGGGTTCAGGACGCTCGCACTGCAGGGTCACGAGATTCAGCCGCCGAACGGCATTGTCAGCATCTATGAAGTGGATGCAGGCCGGTCGGATTTTGTATATGGGTGCGAACTGTTTCTGTCTCGAAAGCCACTGCTCGCCGATATCCTTCGCCAGCGTGGGGTCCAGCCTCAATGTGCCATCGTCTGCGTTCCGCTGCTTGTCCCCAGAGGGGGGCGGGGAAGCCTCTTGCTCACGATGGCAACGTTTTTGTCGTTCTGCTTGATTGGATGTTCGATCAATGTCTCGATCTTCAGGCTCCTCCTTCACCCTCGTCCTCTTGCGAGTTTCGGTCCCAAGCGTGGCCACGCTCCGTGTTGCAACACGGGGAGGCGCGCTCTGAGGCCTCTCATGTGACGAAGGCTGGCGTTTCGCGCGATTGGAGTCGCCTGCAGACGACCACCTCGGAGCCACCTTGCGCTCCAAGGAACGCCCGCGTGGCTCTCTCGAAGACGTCCTGCAAGTCCGGGGAGAAGTCCTCCTCGAGCGGGCCGGGCGACCTCCGGGCAAAGGCACCCTCCTCGATGCCATATCTTCCTTAACCTCCTTGTGGTCGTTAACCTTCTGCTCGCAGTTGTCCGCAACCTCCTTGTAGTCGTTACCTTCGCTTGCGCTCGCGTTGAGAATCTTCGCGATCGTCGTAACGATGTCTCCCGTGTCCACGTCACGGACCGCAAGCTTCGTAGCCAGCCTCAGCGTGACGACGCAATTGTCGACCTCCACGATGTGCCGGCAAGAGCCGTTCTTAAACCAGATGTGCTTGCGATCGTCCTCAACGCGTCTCTGCATGTGCCGCGCCATTCTGGCCGTGGCCACTCTAATTTCGACGTCGTGCCCGTCATCAAAGGTGTTGGCCGTGAGCTTGATTATCTCGACTCTGTCTGAACTGTTGCTGCTCCTGGTGTCCTGCTCTCTTCTAGGCCTGTGTTTGGGCTCTGCGCCCTGGCACCTCTTTTCAGAAGTAGCCACGCCGACCCAGTGCAATACTGGACCATGCACCCTCGATGGCGTGTTCGAGCCAGCGGCCTCTGCACCCGGCTTCTTCTTATAAGGCTCACGCTCACCGCTGGCCACCATTGGGCACTCTGCGTCACCGCGCCAATGCCCGAGGCGGCCGCAGTCGGCACAACGACTGCTGGCTTTTCTCTGGTCAGGTTTCTGGTCGAATTTCTGTGGAGAACTTCTAGATCCGGGTGGAGGCCGGTCGCTGCTGCTGCCTCCCCGGCTGTCCCGAGACCTCGGTGCAACGTAGCCACGCTTCAGCCTGAGAGCAGCGGTCTTCTGCTTAGCCCGCCAGCCGGCGACGAAGGCCTCCTGGAGTTCCTCGTCCAGCTCCATGTCGTCCTCGTCGCCCTCTCCTTCAACCTGCTCCTCCTCCAGCTGGTCCCTATCGTCCTCCTGGTCCTCAAAGTACACCTCTGGGTCCTCCTCGTGATCCTCATCGTGCTCCTGACCATGCTCGCTCTCCTCACCATTGTGCTGGTCGTCCTCTGGATCCTCCGTCTCGTGCACCGTCGTGTAGTTCCCGCGGATGGCCAACTTCGCCTTGTAGCCTTTGTCCTTGTTCCTGTCATCGCGGGCCCCCTGGAACCTCCCATCACGAGCACGATACGGTAGTGCAGCGTGGGACCTCCTAGGTAGTAAGCTGTTATTCTTCTCCACCTCGTGTATCTTGGAATGTGCCACCTTCAACACCGTCTCCATCCGCTTCGAGTCGTAGATCCCGCCGCAGTTGAAGATCACCTGGCTGCGCTCGCGCTGCGTGAGGCCTGCCCCCCGCAACATTTTGCTCGCCAGGGCCGTGTCCGAGATCGCCGAGGCCGGGTCCTGGAGCTGCAACCCCATCCTCTTCTTCCTCAGGTAGGTGATCCAATCCATCATGGGTTGGCCTTGACGCCGTGCTGCCTTCTCCCACTCCTGGTGTACGTTGTCGAGCCTCTCGTGGTCCATCTTCTCGAAGGCATCGTCGTATATCGCGTAGATCATCTCCAAGGCGTCGTCCTTCCTCAGGTCCTCCGGCTCCATGATCTCGATGAGTGTCTTTGCCCTGCCACTCACTTGGCTGAAGATGATCAGGGCGAGCTCCGAGTCCGTCAACTGGTTGAGGTTCTGGATGATGCTCAAGTTCTTGCGCCACTCTCTATAGCGCTTCGTCGACGTCTTCACGTCCCCGTCGAACTCCGGCAACTTCACCTGCGACAGCAGCAGCCGTGTCCGACGTGGACCTCCCTCGCGCTGCAAGCGGAGGAGATCCCTCTGCGTCTCCGCCATGACGCGGAACACCACATTCAGATCCGGAGTAGCACCCGGATCGTCGCCAGCCGAAGGCGAGGATGCCACCTCGCTATCAGCATCTCGCGAGCCAGACATGGCGCCGGCCCGCGCGGGAGTCGCGATTGGAGCTTGCACCCTCCCGCGGAGAGCGTGCAAGCTCAGGCGTGGAGCGTACAAGCTCCGCTACCAATGTCAGTAATGTTTTTTCTCAGCGGGCGCGCGGCGCCGGTTGCTGTCTTAGGGCCCTAAGACTAGGGCCGAAAAGGGGGCGTGGCAAAAAGGGGGGGGGGTCAAGAGGCAGGGAGAGAGGATTGGGGCAAGCTGAAGGCAGTCGGGCGGGGCACCCGTAAAATTCTCACAGTCAAGACGACACTGGCGCTGGTTTCTGACAGCAGGTGTATCGTTCAACTTTCAACGATCGACGACTTTTCGATCGACAGATCATTCCAGATTGGCCGACGCTGGGCCATCGGCCATCTTCAACCTTGAACGCCTGCGCTGGGGTCGCAGCCGCGTCGACACGACACGAACCCACCGTACCTCGGAGCAGGGCGGTGTGAAACACTGGGAATCCAAACGCACCAATTTTCCATGCTGCGTCCAGCCGTGGCGACGAGGGGGTCCCCCGAAGGCCAACTACCAATGTCTCAAACGGCCCTTCTCTGAGTACCCCTTTCCCTCCCCCATCTGAGCCTCAGCCTCGCCGGCCTCGTCGACCATGGAGGGTAGGTTGCTGTCGACTGTCGATGGCGGCCCCTCGGAGAAACGTAGGCCTTGGTCGGAAGCACCTTCGGCCTGAGGGGCAACGCTGCAGGGGAAGGGGCCCATGGGGGAACCGTCGACCTGGAGTATCGGCGATACGTCGCCGATGGATCGGCGGTAGGCCCCCGATTGCGCATCCGCCCGCTCTTGGGCGGGGTGGGCCCCCAGAGCCGCATCGGCGATCATGGGGTGCTTGGGCGCGGGCAAGACTCATGTCCACAGTGCCTCTTGGACTTTTTTTTGGAAGCGGCGCCACAAGGCCGAGGGGCACTGGACAAATAGATAAGACTCGAGCCTCTGGGGAGCAGATGGATCCATATCCAGTGCGCCTCGGGTTTCCTGGGGAGGGAGCCCGACACTCCATGCTGCAGTGGACTGTAGACAGAAGTAATGCCCGCACTTGGGGGCCGACGCACCCACCGCGGGCCCATCCCCCCGAACGCTGCCCCTGACGGCCTCCAGGATCCGCGGCATGGCGTCGACCGCGGCGGCCCGCGCCCCGTCCCTCTCGGTGGACGGCGTGCGGCGCTCCAGCTGCTCCGTCCAGTCCTGGAGGCGGGGGCACCGAGCCACCGAGCTCCTGGCGGCGCACCTCTGCTCGCCACGGGCGACCTCCGAAGCCCGGCCGCGGGCCCACGGGAGATCCGCACAGGCTCGGTCCGGCGCGGCTGGTCGCCGAGGGAGAGGTGAGGCCCAGGGCTCCGGTCGGCCTCTTCTGCGATGCTTCCTCGGCTTCGTGGCGTCGGGCCTCGAGGAGAGCGCCCTCCCGCCCGGGGCGCTCCACTGGAGGGCCTGGGCCTGGGCGCCCCCGAACCCCCGCCCGCCCCCCTGGCCCCCGGATGGGACTCCCGCTCCATGGGCCTTCCTCAGGAGACCCCTGAACTCGCACAGGTCTCCCGTCAGGCGATCCTGAGCAGCCCGATCAGTTTAGTAAAAACAATTCGCGGTCGTCCCGCGCATGTCCGATGAATTCCGCCGAGTGGTCCCGCAGCCGTGCCGAGGATTTCCGAACGACGCCCTCAGAAGCTGAATGGACCCCTCAGGGATTCCAGAGACGCCCTGGGGAATCCAGAGGGGGGTCCCGACGCACTCCAAGGATTTCTTCAAACACGCAATTCGGGGATGGACAGACCTCCCTTTAGTACAACGTGGGTTAGTGAAAACGACCTCGGGCCCAAACCTGGCGGGCGCAAGCCTGGAAAATGACGGCCGCGGCGCCCTCTCGAGAACCGACAACGGACCATTCACGAATCGACGTGCCACTGTTAGGAGGTCTGCCCACCCCCGAGCAATGAGCACCTGAAGACTCCTGAAGATGTCTTCAGGAGCCCCCAGGCTGGACCCAAAGATGAAGGGGCCCCAGGACACACAAATAAATACACACAAATAAAAAGGTCCCCCATATTTTCCCATATTTTTAGGTTTTTTGTCTTCCCCACCACTTCCCATATTTTTGCATATTTTCCTGGGAGTCGACGATTAATTGTGTCTGTGTGTTTCTTTCCCTCCTGAAAGAGGCCCAACGACATCTGGAAGCTTCCGCGGCGCCTTCCCGCGCGAGGCTCTCGCCGCCCTCGCGCGGTGCCCGGTCGCGCTGCCGGTCGCCACCCGATCGCTTCTCGCCCCTCTGTCGCGCCGGGCGCCCGGCGGGCGCGGCAATCGCAGGAGGCGTGGAAACTGCAGAGAAGGCGCGGGCCAACCACAGGGCGAAGAGCGCCGAGGAGGAGGAGGAGGAGGAGGAGGAGGCGGAGGCGGAGGAGGCGGAGGCGAAGGAGGCGGAGGAGGAGGAGGAGGAGGAGGAGGCGGAGGAGGAGGCGGAGGAGGAGGAGGAGGAGGAGGTAGACGTCGAAAGCGAGGATGCGGCCAGGACAGGACAGGACGCCGACAGTCGCCCTGGAGGGCGGCCTAGAAAGAGCACGGCGGTGGCGCCGGAGCGCTGGAAGCACGTTGGCTTCCTGATGCCCAAAAGCGCGATATGGAAGTTTGCCTACGCATGGTGTCGCAACCAACGCAAATGGATTGTTCAAGGGGGGGGACGAAATAGGCCGAAAAAGGGAACACTTCCACATGACATGGCAATACCTACGCTCCTGAAGAGAATGATCAAATTCCAACACTGGAAACTTGCATAGGCGATGAGGGAGGGTGCATTTTTCAACTCAATCCCCACGCTCCTCGGGAGGCTGACCATGAAACGAATGATGATGTATGATCGCGGTGCTTCTTCATGAACTGCCAACGACTGTGAATATTTGGCTCGGCATATCTGGCGCACCATGAAGTTTTCCCACATTGATGTCAAGATTTGGGTTGAGACCATCGTCTTCACGAAAGAATGCGGTTTGCATTGACCTCTGACTACACAGGTTGCCGAAGATGTATAGATTGTCTGCCCATCAAATCCGCGGAGCTGTACTGGAGATCCGCTTGTCGATCGAATCTGGGTGCCATTGTGCAGCTGTCCCTTGCAATCTAAATATGGTAGGCGAAACTGTCAAATTCTGCCACGCTCGACGGGCTGACTCCATGAGCAGGTGACTCTCCTCTCGAGTACTCTGATTGCGTTGGTGTTTCGAAATGCCCTCCCACGATGTATTGTTAGCGGCTTCGCATTGTAAGATGATTTGATCAACGCTGTGACTGATGTGTTCCTCAAGGGAAACAGGGGACGATTGTTTGCGATGTGCAGTTTGGCCGCTGTCGATTGTCATTCCTGTCAGCATTTCAAGAACATCCATATGTCTTGTTTTTCAGAAGCACCTCCATAGTCATCCATTCCTGTTTGGCTATACAACAGACTTACAGACATTGCACACCTGTTCGAAACATTCCAACCTCGGTATAATTTGATGTGTGCTGCGATCCTCACTCGAGCGAGCCGTCACACAAACTTTCTCCTCCAAGTTCGCTACTCTGGATGTCAAGCCCCTAATTCGTCGATGTTTGCTCTCACCTGTAAAACGTCCTCACTCCATATGCTAAGGGGATATTTAGAGCATGCCTACGCGGCATGAGGTCCGACTCCACCAAAAACATGCAATCACCTTCCAAACGCTTTGTTGGTGGCGTTCCACTCTAAGACAGACAAAATTGCACGACGAAGCGAAAGGATTCAAGATCCCATTCACACGGGGCGTGATATATGTACATACAGATATCATTACTATACAAGCACAGCAGGCCGAATGGCAGTGAAAACTCTCAAAAGCCTTGATCCCTGGCCCCGTGCGCCAGCCGAGCGAACCCTTGAGCCCAGCTGTCTTGAGCCCAGAGCCCAGATGTCTTGAGCGAGCAGGAGGAGCCAGAGCGCAAGGAGGAGCCGGACGAGGCCGACGAGAAGGCGGAGGCGGAGGAGGAGGCGACGCTGCCGCCGCGTTGCGAGCAGGTGGGAGGGCGGTCCGGCGCGCGCGCGGGCGCGGCACGGCGCGGCGCGGCGCGCGCGGGCGCCGACTTTCGCGGGTCGCTCCCGCAGAGGCAGGCTATAAATCCCATGCAGGGCTCTCGGGATCGGCCTTGCATCACCTCCCCCTTGCCCCTCTTCGGCCCACGCCGAGGCTGGCCACCACAGGGGCAGCGTCGCAAAGGTGCTGCCCTCTCCAATCTTTGTCCTGCCACGGCGCGTGCCGTGCAGGAAGATCCAAGCGTGCAGGTTGGCATCCAGGGGTCGGCTGAATAGTGGGGAACGGTCCGGGGATGTTGGAGCGCTTCAGCAGCCTAGTCAACGTACTGTAAGCCTCGTCCGACATAAACTGATACGCCGTTCGAACATCGACGCGCCCGATCGTTCGGGCACTTGTCAAAAAACGCGTTCGTCAATGCTATGAGGGCACTGCCGGATCTCGGAGAGAAACACACATGCGTGTATCTCCCGTGCACTCTGCCTTAGACAATGCACGATCGCATTCAGCACTTCCATCTTCCGTCCGCGCCTGAGGGTCCTCTGTGCCGACGACTTACAATGTGTGTGTGTGTGTGTCTCTCTCTCTCTCTCGTTCTCTCTCCCTGTCGCCCTGCCCCAGACAGCCGACGCCACGAAGAAATACTCACCAGGGACACCATCCAATCACGCACGTCCTCCACGCGTGCCCTCTCCTTCTCTCTCTCTCTCTCTCTCGCTCCCTATCTTTCCAACCTTGTCCAGAACTCCGACGTCACGAAGGACGAACTGACTGGAGATGCGACGTCTATGTATTACCCGGAAGGGTGCGAATGCACTGCGCGCCTGCCCTCTCCTTCTGTCTCACAAACACAGGAGGAGGATCACGCGTCTGTCTCTCTTTCTTTCTTATGTGTGTTTTCTCTCTCTCTCTCTCTCTCTTAACCTCGATGTTTCTCTGCTGCATGCCTCCTGCATACATTTCGCACCCGACTACTTCAGATTACTTGACGCATCGCTCTGCGCTCGATCATCTCAGACCGACTCACAACTATATACCACGGATCTCATTCATGGTCAATGGTTATCGCTGTGCCCCTCCCTCCTTCTCTCTATGACTCTCCCTCTCTACCCAACTTCGCCCTAGGCCCTCTGATATGTAATCTAGATGTACGACATACCCTCGCATTCTGAGCTCCCTATCTACCTTCCAATACTATACCTAATGCTGGTCGCAAATTCTTTCTCGATCTCTCTCTCTCTCTCTCTATCTTTCTTCCTATCTCTCTCTATCCCCCTCTCTCTCTATCTCTCGATGTACGTAATATGTCTTCTTCAAAACTCTACGATCTACCCTCTCATTATGATCATGGTCGCAACTGCCCGGAAAATAATCGAAAACTTGAAAACCCAACCCCACCATAAACCCTGGCCCAGAACGGGGAACCTGGAAAACCAACCGCCCTCCGATATCGGCCCGGGACCCAAAACAGCGAACCCGTGGAACCAGGCCGCCCAAAGAGAGCGGCCCCGCCACTTTCGCCTACTCTGACAGCCTCCCATAGGAACCCCCAGTGCAAGCACTGGTGGGGGAACTATTCTCTGTTCTCTGGTCTACTTCATAGCTTCTCTCCCTTCAAGCTGTCTCTCTTCCTGCGTATGTTTGAATGTACAGATCTATGTGTGTACATCAGTTCCTCTACGGCTTACATCTCTGCTTTTTGTTGTTCTCTCTCTTTCTCTTTTTCTCTGTCTCTCTCTCGCTCTCTCTCTCTCTCTCCACTCGCTCTCTCTCTCTCTCTCCTTCTCTCTCGTTCCACTCAATCATACTGCACCTGTGCCGTTTACAGCAACTTCCTAAGTTCTCTGGTCATATGTGTATATATACACATATGTATGTATTTAAAGGTTCAAAATGTTCACACACATGATCAATCATGATACTTCTCAAATGTGCTCTCTACTGCCTGGTTTGTGCTCTTCCCGGAAGCCGTACAACGCTCGGACTTACGATCCGGCAACAGAGAGCCCGGGAACCTGGCCGCCTACCGAAACCGGCCCAAAACCCGACACCAGCAACCGCGGCACCCAGGACCGCGAACCCTGGAACGCGGCCACCTACCGAAGTGGGCGCCGTACTTTAGCTTACTCGTTCAATCTCTGCTAGGACCCCGTCAATGCAAGCACTGAGTGGGGAATTGCAACATCTTGAAGAATGGCTGGAACACCTGGCCCCCTTCTTTCGACCGGTGAGGGCCCCGAGGCCCGAAACAGGACAGAGTCGCCCGCTGTGAAACAATTGGGACGCCAGGATCTCAGGGTCTCTCCCTCTTTCCCTCTTCCACTCCAGTTCCTGCTGCTGCTGTTCGTCCTCGTCCTCCTCCGTCCTCCTCCTCCTCCTCCTCCTCCTCCTGCTCATCCTCCTGCTTGTCCGCCACCTCCACCTCCAGTGTACGCAGCCCCTGTTTTCTGGTTGCGCGCGACACGCTGGGGTTCTCTTTGGGGCTCCAGGTCGCGCACCTAGCTCGCTCTTTCTCCGACCAGGGATGGACAGACCCCCCTTTAGTAAAACGTGGTTTAGTGAAAACGACCTGAGGCCCCAACCTGGCGGGCGCAAGCCTGGAAAATAACGGCCCTGGCGCCGTCTCGAGAACCGAAAACGGACAATTCACTAATCGACGTGTCACTGTTGGGGGTTCTGTCCACCCCCGATCCGACGGCGACGGCGGCGGCGCAGTCCGCAAGCAGCTGCCGCACGGCGCTCTGCTGCTCCTGCAGCGCCCGCCGCAGCTCCTCGGGCGGGGCGGGGGGGACGCAGGCAGGCCGGCAGCATGCGGGAGGGGCCCTGGCATGCTTAAAACGACGCGAAGATCGGGACAAAATCGGATCGGGATAACTCGAAATCTCTGAGAATCGGCGGGTTTGGAGAATGTATTGGGCGCCGCGGCCGCTCCAGAGCGTTCCGGAACGCTCTGAGAGCGCTCCGGAACGCTCTGGAGCGATTTATCCCGATCCTAGCCTTGTTTTACATGCTCTCCACACGAGAGCACGACGGACAACTGTTGACAGCCTTCTGCCCCTGGCAGCCCTCGGCGGGCCCTCGGGTCGGCGGTGGACAAACCTCCCTTTCGTAGGCCTCCCCTTAGTGAAGACGGCCTGGGGCCGAAACCGAAGGACCTGGACCCGCAAAAATGACGGCCGCGACGCCCTCTCGCGAACCGAGAACGGCCAATTCCTTAATCGACGTGTTCTATCCACCTCCGATCGGGCCACCAATAAACAACTCGGAATGAAGAGCTGGTTCCGAGGCAAGGGGTCCGGATCTCTGGGGAGCCACGCTGTGAAAAGCACCGCGCCGTCGGAGGTCCAGAAGGAAGTACAGGGCTAGGAGGCACTTCCTAGGAGGTCTTCGCAAGAACGATGAAGAAGTGTTAATTACGCCAGATTGCAGCGGACTTTGGAGTCCCGAAGCTCACCACGGTGTGGTCACCACCCAGCTTGGGGACCCCCGAGGGACATCGGCGTCGGGGCCCGCCGGAAGAAGTGGAGCCGGATGGCGCTGCCACAGGCAGCGGCCCCCGGACGGCGGGAGCCGTGAGAGGCTCTGCTGTTGCAAAACAAGGGCCCCCCGACGGCTCGGCCACATGATGCACCGACAGGCAACGCGTTTGACTCGAAAGCCGCTTCTATCTTTGGCCGTGCCGGGAGCATGCACAAACAAAAACGTAAATGCGGCGGCGCCATGCATGGCGGGAGCGCAATCTCCAGAACGAGCCACCCTTCGTCTCGTAGCTGTCGGGGAAGTCGAGCTTTGGCACCGGAATTTCAGGGGATGCCCCGAGCGAGATTACCACCTTGAAAACGCTGTACAACCATCAATGATAATTACCGTTTGAGAGTCCCACCAGCCGTGTGTCCCTCAATAGTTTTGGGTCCCCTGACTACAAGTACCCCTTCCCTGGACTACAAGTACCCCCTCCCGGGACTACAGGTCCCCCCCCCTGGTCTACAGGTACCCCCCCCCGGACTACAGGTACCCCGCCCTGGACTACAGGTATCCTCCCCCGGACTACAGGTACCCCCGTCAGGCGCTACAAATCCCCCCCGAAGCTACAGGACCCCCTGAATTCGCACGCTTTGACAAATAGCATGTGCGCCCCCCCCCGGACTACAGGTACCCCCCGAGGCCCCACCCCTGGACTACAGGTACCCCCCCCCCCGGACTACAGGTACCCATCCCCTGGACTACAGGTACCCCCCCAGACTACAGGTATACCCCCCCCAGACTACAAGTATCCCTCCCCCAGACTACAGGTACCCACCCTGGACTACAGGTACCCCCACCCTGGACTACAGGTACCCCGGAGTAGGTGTTTTTTTACAATTTGTCTGTCCTGCTCACAAGCACTCTTCCCTGCGGGGAAGGGCACCTGGGTTCCATTCAGAATCGTTCCCAAGGTCCGGTTTGTCAAGACGCCTTTGGGAAGACAGGGGGGCGCCGGTTTGTTGTGCGTTTCCTCGAAGCCGACGTTCTGGGGGGGTCCGCTCAATTAGGATGCCTCTTGCGCATGCGAATTCACGTCACAAGCATGCGATTTGCTCGAAGCTCGTGCTCGTGACTACGGAACATGATCGTCACAGTCGTGACCAACATCATCCCCATCCCCATCACCATCACCATCACCAACAACAGCATCAGCATCAGCATCAACTTCATCAGTATCGCTACAATCATCAGCATCACCAACATCAGCATCATCATCAACATCATCAGCATCATCGTCATCACCATCATCGACACCTTCATCACCATCTTCAACATCCATGTCATCGGAAACGTCATCATCAGCATCATCGTCATCAATTCCCTCACCATCGTCGTCATCGTTGCCTTCACCGCCACAATCATCACCATTTGCCGCAAGTGTCCTTGCTATGGCCGTCCCCGTGGGTGCCATATTCTCTATGCGCATATCACAGCATGTTTGTTCCATCACCGTCATCAGTGCACCCTGACGGTGCTGTCATAATCTGCTCCCTCCCTCCAGCAAAATCTCCGCGTATTCTAGCAGCTCAGAGAACATCAAGGATGTGATGTGTACCTTCTCGCCTTTTCGTTTCCAGGGGAGGGGGGGGGGCTTATCATGTCTCAGTGTGGCCCCAAGGTGACTCAGAAGAGCCCCAAGAGATATCCAAGAGGCCCACGAGCCGGCCTCAAGAGGCGACGTTCAGGGTCTTGCGGTGAGACCTGAATTAAGGACCCCCCGGCTTCGTTTGATCGATGCCCTTCAAGATGGCCCCAAGAGGCCTCCAGGGCTCCCAAAGGGCCCCCGAGAGTGCGTCAAGAAGGTCCCCCAACCCCCCAAACGAGCCGCAAGAGGATCCCAAGACTCCTCAAATAGTCCCAACAAGGCACCCAACAGGGACCCATTTGAACACGGCGTTGGGTTTCCTACATGAGCCCGCGGCGCCAAGACGCTTCTACGACAACGCCCCCCACAAGAGAGGCATCCAGGACTCCCAAAGGTCCAGCGGTGCGGCGTAAGCAATTTTGAACTTCGCCGACGACGACGAGAAGGACTGGGTGGAGGAGGATCGCCGTTGATCCTCAGCACGAATGCCAGCGCCAACGTGCGCGTGTCCACTGGAGCCATTCAACACAACGCAGACGGTGTGATGAGCGACACGGGCCGCGTGCTAGCGGCGGGGCCGAACGGGGTGACGTATTTACACATTGGGCCAGCACACGTCTTGAGGACTACGGACTCGTGTGGGGTACTGCAACTTCTCCAGCACGTGCTGCTCGGACAGCTGCCAACAGCCGCATTGGCTGCAGCTGCACCCGGCCTTGCAGGCGAGAGGCAAGAGTCCGCAGAGGCAGGGCGGGTCACCCTGCTATTCTTCCTTCCACCTCCCCCCTCGCCACCACCACGACCCGCTTCGCACCCCCGTGGTGCTTTTGTGGACCCCGGAAGAAGCAGGGCCTTTTATCACCGTTTCCCCAAAAATGTCCATTGAAAATGGAAACGGCAAAAAAAAACGGCGACCGGAAAGGGCAACAAAAGCGGCTCCAGGATTGGAATCGGAGACGGCACCGGTCACACCACGGCGACGGAACCGGTAAGAAAAAAACGGCGTCAAGACGGCAGAAGAACGGCACGACGGAACCGGCAAAAGAACGGCCCCGTCGTTCCCGGGGCCCACTATCCCGTGGTGGTCCCAGAACTTGCCGTCGCTCGGACGTCCATTCCCTGTGCTTTTTTGGGGGGTTCGTGCGCGGTTTTTGTCGCCAGATGATCCAGGATGCTCCTCGACGGTCCTCGCCGACGGAAAAATGCACACGTCCGAGCGATGCCAGGAAGCTTCCGACACCCGGCAGCGCCTTGTGCCCCTCAGCAGCCCGCGCGTCCATCAGGAGCCGCCGGGGGCCGCCGCAGGGCGCCCGCTGTGCCCACCGCCGCGGCGCTCGGGGGGCAGGCGGCGCGACCCGCGCCCGGGGAGGTGCGCGAACGGCGCTTGGGCAGGCAGGGGGGAGGGGGTCGCGAGAGCAGAGGCGAGGAGGAGGAGGGGGGGGAAGGAGGGGGGGGAGGGGGAGGAGGAGGAGGAGGAGGGGAAGGATTGAAGGACTCACAGGAGGAGGGTGAGGAGGGAGAGGAGGAGGAATAGGAGGAGGAGGAGGAGGAGGAGGAGGCTGAAGAGGAGGAGGAGGAGGAGGAAGAGGAGGAGGAGATCGAGGAGGAGATTGAGGAGGAGATTGAGGAGGAGGAGGAAGTAAACCCAAAACTCAACAACGATGTTGGAATGAACCCTCCCTCCAAACTCCCTCTCCATCGGCCCCTACCAAGATTCATTTCAACGAGGAAAATGTTGGGAGACAACCGTTTGCAGATCCTGAATCGTGCCAAAACACAATTAGGAACCCAACGCCAGGAACCAACCTGACTATTGCGCCTTGACAATCCAAAGTTGCGGTAAACCTGGAAATTCAACATGGCGAATCAACGTAACTGCTGCGCCCTGGCAATCCTGAGCTGCTCCGAAACACCATTTCTGGCACGCTAACCATGGGAAGGTGTGAAACTGCAGCAAATGTTCGAGATGAGTGCGCGCGGCGCTAAGGCGAGAGCCACGTGTTGAAAAATAACCACCCTGAATCCTTCAAACTCTTGCAAATTGGTAAGACGAATGCGTGCGGCGCACAAGCGGGAACCATATGTTGAAAACCGCCCGCCCTCAATCCGCGAAGCTCCTGCACTGCGTACGACAAATGCGCGCGGCGCTAAGGCGAGAACCACATGTTGTAAAATACCCGCCCTCAATCCTTGAAACTCTTGCCAATGTCTAAGCTTCAGGATCACTCATGGTAGAGGCGTCCCAGGCGAAACGCCCAGCCCGCCCTTCCCTGGCCTCGGAGCGCGATTAGGAACAAATAGGTAGAAAGGGCAAACGAATGAGGGAGGAGGAGGAGACGAGCGTACGAGGGGAGTCCAGTTCCAGGAAGAAGAGGATCAGGAGGAAGAGGAGGAGGACACAGCCGGCGGCGCGCCGAGAGGGGGCAGGTGAGGAGGGCAGGCCTTCTCCGAGGGCAGCGGGGCTTCTTAGAAGCACCCTGCGGCTTCGTGGAAGGTGTAGAAAGCTTCTGGAAAGGCAGGAGGCACCCTGAACCTTCCGAGAAGGCCCGCCCCATCTGCCTTCCCCCCCCGGGGCGAGCCGTCGTCAAGAGATTGGGATGCCGTTGGCCCTGTTGGGGGTTCCTCGGAGGCCTCGCGTGGCAACGGGTGGGCTCCCCATCGCACATCTGGCAACAGCGCGCCCGTGGACAGGTCAGCGGGGGGGTGGGGGTTGTAGATTTAAGGCTCTGTGGCGTGCGCTGCACTCCGAAGCAGGAAAGTTGTTTGTTCGCACGGCACTTCATGACGTGGGCTTGTTTGCGTGCGCGGTTGCAGCGCGCCTTCTTCTTCTTCTTCTTCTTCATCATCACCATCATCATCAGCATCATCACCACAAGCATAGTCATCATCATCACCATCATTATCACCATCACCATCACAACCACCATCATCATCATCGTCATCATCATCGCCATCGTCATCACCATCATCAGCATTATCATCAACGCCATCACCATCATAATGATCACCATCAACAAGATCATCGTCATCTTTTGCATAATCATAGTCAAAACCATCCGCGTCAGCAGCAGCAGCATCAACGCAACTGCTGGCAAGTTCATCATATTCATCATGTGCATGCGCCCCCTCATCATCACCACCAGCAGCATCACCATCACCGACATCATCATCATAATCTTCATCATCATAATCACAATCATCATCCTGCTCCTCCTGAACCTTTTTCTGTCTGCTGCTCATCACACCCCTCCTCCCCGTGGGTGTAAGCACTATCACCAGAATGCGTCTTCTATTCTTTGCCTGGCTGTACATCAACAGCCCTGAGAAACTTGAGGATTTGAGTGGGATGAGGCAGACCGCATGAAAAAAAAAAAAAAAAAAAAAAAAAAAAAAAAAAAAAAAAAAAAAAAAAAAAAAAAAAAAAAAAAAAAAAAAACGATAAACAGTGATACGAGGAGGACGAGCAAGAACGAGGCATTTATGAGAAATTGATTTAGGCATGAGTGCCTAGATCCGTGAAGTTCAATCGGAAACACCAGCCCAGACAAAGGAGAGCAGGTATACACCTTTACAAGAACACGCGGAAAGGACGACGTACAATGACAACAACTAAGAGACCCGTGCGTTTCAAATCACAAGAACCAAAACGGGTTCGGGCGTCTATGCCCGTTCCTCACATATTTCCTAGTCTCTGCATCCTACTCCTCCTCAACTTATCTCGCCCCGCTGTATCATCACTCTGCTCTCTGTCTCTCTGTCCCATCCCAGTGTTGTCCGCAACTTTGTGGGGCTGTTGCTGTTTACCCAAGCAAGGAGGAGTCGCCATTTGATCATTGCGGTTGTCGATGACGAGCACGGGAATGATGAGCAGCAGGCGGCAGATAATCTATCTATCTATCTCTGGCGATGGAACAGCCAGCGCACTGGTGAACTAAAATAGCTGCGATGCTATACAAAACCTGGCCAGGTGGGAGCGGAGGAGGAGGATCACGAGGCAACGCTAGACAGAAGACTCTGGCAAGCGAGCTGCTTCGCTCTACTGCGTCTGGGACAGCGCCAGCTCTACACCAGAGCTCCATCGTTGTTGCACCCGCCCATGGTAAACGCGTGTCATTGTGCGGGACTCGCCTTGGGAAGAGTGCAAGAACCGGTGCATTGTCAACCGCGAATCGGCTTGCAGACCAGACAGCGCGCGAGACCAAGCCCCAGGATCGTGAGCGCGGCGGACGTGCGTGTCCCAGGAGACGACAGACCTGGCCCACGCAGCGCTCCATCTGCCAAATGACCTGGCCAGGCGCCCCCCGAGAAGCTGGCGCCTCTGTGCGAAGGCCTCATGAAACTCACCGCGTTTCCGATTGATTTGGACCAGGGAAGCAAGGAACGTTCGCTGGAGCCTGTCGAGCTTGGCCGCGCACGTCTTGACGCGCGGCCACCTTGACCAATGGGAACTACCAACGGACCGAACGCATGCGTTCATTAATCGGTACTTGGCAGATATCGGCGCGCGAAGCAGGCCCGCCGTCAGGTTGGCGTAGAAAGACTTCCCCATGGCTGCTGCGGGCTTCTGGAAACAGGTGCGCATGCCGCCGTCGTCGTCGATGTGGTGGCCGAGGCACTTCAACATCAAGCGCCTCGTCCATGCCGGCGGGAGGTTGATGGTGTGCGGGCAGGCCCTGCGCGTCATGTACTCCCTGGTGTCCTCGCCGATGTTTAAAGACCATCGTTTCCGCAGCTCTTCTTCGCAACGGGCCATTGTGGCGATGGCATCCTCTGGTGTCTCTGCAATAGTGAGCAGGTTGTCGACGAATGTGGCCATGCAGCAGCACAGATTGTCCACCCGCAGGGCAGATCGCTGCCACTCCGGGAGACGTGCCGCGGCGACGTCCAGGCGGGGCAATCTACCACCGACGGCTGCAGACCTGGAAATAATCCAACACATCGATTTCTGAAGACGGCCTGATGCGACCTCACACTGAGCGCTATAGTAGGCAGAGAATGCATCCGCTGGAAAGTCGCGCAGACGTCTGCGCTGTCATATCATTCTCCCAACCATCGGACAACGCGTAATCCTCTGAGATTGTCGTGGTACCTCTCGGTGTCTTGTTGCGCCAGAGTCATGCGCGAGTGCCAGTCTATGCCTTTCTCAATGGCGAGCGCCGCTGGGAAGGCGATGTCCAATACTTGTCTACGTTTCCCGGCGCTTCCTGGCGCACTCCAGAAAACCAGCTGGGATTGTAAATGCGAATGCGTCGGCCCAGAGTTGATCCGGCTCGCCGCGAGGACGTCGAGAACGCCAATGAGGATGGGTGGTGGGGTGATCGTTCGCACCTTGGTGGCAGGGATGGCCCCCCGCGCCTTCGCCCTCACCCCCCCCTTGGATGGTGAAGTTCTCGAAGGCCAGTTCGTTCGCCGAAATGTGGTTGGAAACTGCAGTGCCATAAACAGGACAGGCAGATTGTTGGATCTGGACGGCCACGGCGCAGACGCCAAGACAATCCAGCGCAGCTGTGCGGCGCAACACTCGAAGACCTTCGGTGATGTCAGCCGCGGTTATCAGCACGCCTCTGCCCGAGTGCTCGTGCAGCCAACCCTTCTGTAAAGAATGCAGATGCGAATCGCAGCGTTTTCAAATCTTGCTGAATGCGTCCGTCACGAGCCAGGCCCAACGCTGGCGGTCGTAGGTGGCGTCGCCGTCCGCGTCGATCATGCTCGTGATGCTGTGAAGTTTCTTGCCTTTCCACGCCGGCCTTCCCTGGGCGAAGATCGAAGAGGTCCGCAGCGCGTATCTCCCAGAGGACCGTCAGCCAATGCTTGCGGCCGTCCCAGAGCAGCCTTTGGAGTCAGTGGCGTTGAACTGCGCTGCCTGCAGACTTCAACTGACGCCGTAACGACTTGATGGTCTCAGGATCACGCTTCCGGCGCCCTTGAGCACACGTGGCTGGGTCTTCGCACTGGCGTTGCAACTGCTGTGTGCTGGCTAAGAAATCCTCGACGCTCGAACAAGAGTCGACATCAGCATAACTCTCCACTGCCCGCGTGGCAGCAGCAGCCTTGTCCGAGCACCTCCACGAGCTGCGCTGAAACTGCGGCCGCCTTGCACACTTGACCTTCAAGTCGGCGTGCACGGCAGCATGGTATGTAGGCAAAGTCGCCCACACCGCGGCAGTGTCCTCTACGACGCCGGCGGAGGCGCAATAGTCCAGCAGAGACGGCAAGCCGCGCTGCCGCCCGCGCGGAGCACGGGTGATAGGAACCTGCATGCACTCAAGCAGCCAGTCCTCAGGCAGGTCCCCGTACACAGCGCTCGGCACATGTATCTCGATGCCGATGCCGGCAAAGAAAGCTTCAAGTTGATGACGTTCTTCGGAGTGTTTGCTGAATCTATGTGTT